CTGGCCAGCAGGTGAATTTGGATCCCGAAGTGAAAACATTTGTGGTAATCATGGACATCCGTCTTTTTGTTTCATTTCATGATGATTGTGCGTTAATTTACGGCATGTCGGTACTTATCTAATATTTGTAAAAAATACCTTTTTTTTTTAATTTGAGCTGTGTCCAGGCCGTTGGAGTCTATGCCGGTCGGCGTAGCCAGATATGGTTTAAAAAAGTCGTTGCTTCGTCTACTTATTTTATATTTTCTTATTATTAGACGCCCACGACAAATATGCGTTCGTTAAAATTGTATAATCCTTGCAATTTAGAAAATATCAATATTGACGTCGAACAGTACTATGCCGATGAGGGTGAGGAAGAAGATCTTGATATGGGTATTTTTTAAATCGTTAGTTTTATATAATTTTTTCTGATACTGAAGTCAATTGGTTGGCCTGGTACAACGGAGGGCATAAGTAAAAAGTACCATTGCTATGTAATAATTGATCTAGCAACATTGTATTCCTTTTAAACACATGTCACACTTCCAATACACACTACAACCACAGCTTATACAATACAGCTCCACAACTCCGTGTCGGCGTCTTTGATCTGGCGGTCGAGAACCAAGCAAGATGGAATGGTGCTATCTCTGTTAGATTAAAGGGAAAAGTCGGGCCCGGATTAAGCAATTTTTTTATTATTGAAAAAATTGAAAACCTTGACGTAATAAGTTTGGTTACATGCCATGTTAAGTAAGTTTTGGGAAATTAAATATTTAATTTGTTTTAAATCTGTCAAATATAATTAAAAAAATTATTTAAATATAAATATTACGAAAAATAGCACATCTTTCGGATTAGAGGTAAAATAATTTGTATGTGGCTAGTAAAATCCTCGTTAACAAATGTTTTGAGCTAAAACAGTCACTTCACGACAAATTGTGACTTTGATCCTTTTTACACCAAGGGCTTCAATTGTTAAAGAAATGTGTCACGCTCGTGGATGCAAATCAAGTGATACCCCGTGTCTCTGGCAAGTGTTACTCTTCGCGCAAAGGGTTTATACCTAGATAAACGAATGCTTCGACTGAGGTCTGGGAACTCTATGGTATTTTGGAATTATAAAGAATTTGTGCTTTTATTTTAACAATATTGGTTATATTTAGATGTATTCTTATTAATTGAAATACAGATTTGTAGAAGTAATACTTTAACAGTTTTTATTAATATAATATATTCAATTTTTATCTGACCATACCGAAGTAGGAATTTTTAAACTTTATAGTAATGTGAAATTTGAATTACAATATTACACGATATTACATAATTAGTACTTATTTTAGGTAGGTACTAAATTTGTACTTGGAGAAAGTAATATCGATTTTTACCAGAAAACTTGAAAAGTAAATTAATTTAGTTCTTATTTCTGATGTAAAACTTAAACCAAGAAAACAAATAAATTGTAGTTTGTTCAACAAGGGTGGATATGATAGCCATATCACACAAAGACGAAGTTTGAGCACGACGTCGTAGGCGGAGTACTCAATCGTCTGATTGTGATATGAACAATCCACTCGATATGGTCAGTATATTTTTTCTACGGCCCACTAACGAAAATCTACAAATTTAAAAAATTATTTTAGGTTATTTAGACAAAATAACTAATTTTAAAATAATTTACGAAGTTGACTAATTTATAAAATAAAATAAACATGAAAAATTAATTAGTCCTCGGCCTAGATTCGATCCCGGGCTTTTCGCATGGAAGGCAGATGTTCTGTCCTCATCTTCACCGAAACTTTCAGGACTTTAGTTTTAATACTCGTAATTAAATTAGTATCATGTAGTTTGATTAAAATTTATTTTTTTTTAAATGTGGACATAATAAAAACAAAAATGCTATTATTTATCGAGTCTACACAAAAATTTTAATGTATATTTAATATCAATAACTAAAATATATATTGACAATTAGTTTAACAGAATTATCACTTATTTAAAAATTTTTAAATAATAGGAGTTGGGTGACCAAAATATGAACTGTGATTTGTAGATTTAATTTTGTTAAAGTGTTCTCACTACCTAAAATGAATATGAAATATATTCGTAGTTGAACGCAATAACATAATTTTTCATTTTGTAGTATGTGCGTAGATTGGCTAATATCCATGCACAGATTACAAAACGAAAAAGTATGCTATTGCCTTCAATTGAACGAATATATTTCATATCCATTCTAGGTAGTGAGAACACTGCAAAAAAAAATAAATTCGCCAATCACCGTTCATATTTTGATCAACCGACTGCTATTATTTTTAAAATTTTAAATAAATGACAATTCTGTCAAACTAATTGTCAGTATATTTTTTAGTTATTGAGATTAAACATACAATAAAATAAGTTATTCTTTTGGAAAACGTTAGCATGGATGACTAAAGGGTATTGGGTTAATTAATTCTAAAAGTGTGGTACAAATGTTATTTTTTGTAGCCAATTCTTCAAAATTATTTTAAAATATCTTTTCAATATTAAATATTAGTTCTACAAATTCATCATTTGACAGTTGCAGATTTCCAAATGTATCTGAATTGGAGTTATCATATGCCTTTTAAAAGCAATAAAAAGAAAAATCGTCTAATTCAACGTGATCTTTGTTATATTTAAGACAGGTATCGCAGGAGTGGATCCGCAAGGCTTTTATTAAAAGGTAACCACACACATACCTGATAAAATTTTTCTGTAGCAATTCGTCTTTACAATAATTTAGGGTGTTAATAATTTCATCATAAAATAAAACACAAGGTGTTCCATTTAAAAAACATACATTTTAATTTTCCAGGCAAAAACGTGACACCCTGTATATCCAAAGATATTTTTAAAATATGTAGGTATTTTTCAAATCCATATAACTTTTATTTAAAACTTTCTTGCGTGTCTACAACAAAATAATGAACAATAACGCACTAATGAGACACCCTGTATAAATTATATTTTTAACAATGAAAATTTCTTATAATGTAGTACTTATCGGTTTGGGTCCTTGGGAAAACTAAAGAATGTTTTCTTGCAGGTATAACCCTTATTAAAACAGCTTTTGACTGCACAAGCTCATTCTACTCACAGCTAAAGAGTCACCAAAATAATAACAGTACCTTTAACTCAAACAAAATCAACGAAATTATAGGCTCCACGAAATTATACAATCAACGAAATTATACGCACGACTCAACACCTTGCCTAAGTACGCTTCCGAACGCCAAAACCGTCTTTTCCCTTCGAAGGCGTAGCTTAAGCGATGCGCGACGAAATCGACGCAAACCGTTGCCGCCAAGAGAGTGTTTTAGCTGTATTGTATAAGCTGTGCTACAACATTGAACTCGATATACCAAAAGGCCGGTTGAATCAACACCAGTCGGTTTTATCTCAGCGTGTCAGCGTGGTTGCCCCCATAACGAGAAGCGAGCGGTTGCCGTTTAAATTGTGTTACGAGGGGTTGTGGAGAAGTTGTTAAAAATAAATTTGAAATTAATTTAAAATTAATTTCACGTAACAATCGGTATTGACACAACACAACAAAGAATTTCTAAACGCTGAAAATAAGTTCGATAAGCAATTAAATATTCCCAAGTATAGAGAAAACAGCTAAAATCAACAAATATATTGCTTACGAAAGCAAAGAAAATTTAGAAATGCATCGACATTTCTGGTACTGTTGATGACGGATACCTGAATCATTGAACTCTCTCGATATAACGGGGTATTTCGCGGTCTTTTTCCAAAATCCTTAGTGACTAGGTATATCGCAAAAGAAATATTCACTGGCCGAAATAAAAATACTAGGTGATTTGATAGACAATTAGATCAAGTATTTTGGGTTTGGAAAATTAAGTGAATTTAAATATTATGAAAAACAGGATCATTAAATTCTCCTTATATTTCGGTAAAAAAAGACATTTATTTTTCTTTACAATCTATCAACAATTTTAAAATTAATTTTACAACATATAACATTCTTCAAGCGTTTTTCATATTTGATTCCATAAATATTTCGACATTTCTGTATCGGGGAAACAAGTCTTGGCGGTTGGTTCGTCTGGACGCACTCGTGTTCGACAGTCGGGTTGAGTTCTTTAATATTTATCTCGGGGGTTATTCTATAACTTTCAGCCAAAAACGCTTAGCAACGAAAGCGCCAAGCGGGCTTATCACCGAAACGACAAGCATGCGATAATGGTATTTTCTAATTAGACGATTTTGCTATTCGTAAATCATATTCATTTTTATCGTAGGCTATTCTATATATAAAGTCGTAAATGCTGATTGATCTAAATAACTAAGATTAGGATTTGTAATGGAGTGTAATTTTGTCATTATTATAATTCATTAATCATTAAACATGGACGCGGTAGTTTAAAAGCAACT